TCTTAAAAATCAGTTAATTTTATTTTTTTTTTCAGTGGCCCTAATCCTCTTCCGTAGCAAGCCAATAAAGTTGTTTTTGCTTTTTTATTTGCTGAAGGTCGCATTGTAAATATATAATGTTTAAATTCAATCAGAAAAACTGAAAAGTCAGTTTTTTTTTCTCAAAAATGTGCATTTATGAAGATGAAATTTAGCCTTAATAAATGGATAAGAAAACTCTTCGCATTCATTTTTTCATTTGGTTGAAAACCAAACAGGACATTTATCCAATATAACTGAAATCCTATTGATATTTTTGACACAATAAAAGTACAAAATTGTTGCCAAAATACTTTGGAATGATGACAAAACCAGAACAGATGAGTGACCGACTCTGGGCAAGTTTCACAGCAGCAAGTTCTCCCACTTAGAAATCATGCAGGGGTGTGAAACTGTCATCATAGCTGCATTTCCACTGTGAGAGACATGATCTAAAAAAATAAAATCCAGAAATCACAAAACATGATTTTTAAACCATTTATTTGTATGATTCAGCTGCAAATAAGTATTTAAACACCTGAGAAAACCAATGTTAATATTTGGTACGGTAGCCTTTGTTTGCATTACAGAGGTCAAAGGTTTCCTGTAGTTTTACACCAGGTTTGCGTCCATTGCAGCAGGGATTTTGGCCCATTCCTCCACACAGATTTTCTCCGGATCAGTCAGGTTTCTGGGCCGTCCCAGCAAGACCTAAACCAGTAGAGAATCTTTGGAGGGAGCTCAAACTGTGTTCCTCAGCGGCAGCCCAGAAACCTGACTGATCATTCTGAACATTTTATCCCTGCTCTGATGATAAAAACTGTGTTGGACAGGTTGTTCATCGGGAACAAGGAGCAGAAGCTTCCACGCCGGCTGGTTCAGCCCTGAGACCGACATCATGGCGTGCAGTGAAGGGCCCCACAGGACGGATGGCGACGCCGATCAGCCGTCCGCCCATCAGGACCCTTCGAAAGAAAGCATGAAGCTGAAGAAGGAGATCTCTCTGCTCAACGGAGTCAGTTTGATCGTGGGAAACATGATCGGCTCCGGCATCTTCGTCTCGCCCAAAGGGGTGCTCATCTACAGCGCCTCCTACGGGCTGTCGCTGGTCATCTGGGCCATCGGGGGCCTGTTTTCGGTCATCGGGGCCCTCTGCTACGCCGAGCTGGGCACCACAATCACCAAATCAGGGGCCTCCTATGCATACATTCTGGAGTCGTTCGGCGGCTTCATCGCGTTCATCCGTTTGTGGACGTCCCTGCTGATCATTGAACCCACCAGCCAGGCGGTCATTGCCATCACGTTCGCAAACTACCTGGTCCAGCCGCTGTTTCCAACATGTGAGCCTCCATACGCGGCGGCCCGCCTCATCGCCGCTGCGTGCATATGTGAGTTCCTCTCAGTCACTGCTGCTTCTTCACCTCCCTGCTGCTCCTGACGTTCCTCCCTCTGTGTTCAGGTTTACTCACCTTCATAAACTCTGCTTATGTAAAGTGGGGGACCCGGGTGCAGGACGTTTTTACCTACGCAAAGGTGGCGGCCCTCATCGTCATCATCGTCACCGGCATCGTTAAGATGTTTCAGGGTGAGTTGGGTCACTATAACAATCTCTGACAATCAATGATACGTAATTATATCATTTGTTTTTATTTTATTTCAGTAAAAAAAAAAAAAAAAAGTGGTGCATTTAAATGTTATAGAGCTAAACGTTAAATTGGTGAGTAGTATTAGTGTAAGTTTTTAACCTGTCCAGT